AGATGGATAAAAATCGATGATTTTTTTTTTTTTAAAAATTGAATTGTTTCAATTTACATTGGATTTTTTTTTATTTAAATCGTATTTTTTTTTATTTTTATCAAATTTATTTTAATAAAATGTTTTTGGAGTAAAAATCTATCTAAAGATAGTTTTCTATTTAAGATACATTAATAATTTAGTTTATTGAGCATGAAATAAAGCTTGGTTATGTAGCATGACGCTGTATGTTCTACAATATTTACATTTTTGGTAAAGTCATTCAATAATCCAAGCTCTGCAAGCTGAGAACATGCACTGGATTGATGCATTCTCGCTGTTTTACTAACCTGACAGCTTATTATTCTAAAAAGGAAAACTTCATTTGGTTTGCAAATTTTTTAAAGATTCTAACTATCAGCAAGAATGAGTCGGATTCCTTACATTTAAAGAGCACCTGTCATTTTAGATCCATCATGGCAGCGCCTGTTAGCGGGCATCCACTCATCTGCTGCCGCCACGTCCCTCACCTTGTTGTGTCACTGCTGCCTCACCAGCCGTCCCATTAAAGTGAATGGGACTGTCGGTGAGTCAACTGCGGGTCGGAGGAGGAGCCACTGCGGGATAGAGATGACAGTTGCTCTTTAAAAATCATGATTTAAATCAAATCCATCCTGACAGAAGGCCTGCAGGTTGCCATATTGCTTTGAGATTTACAGGGAATTACAGATTTGAAAATGAAAGGTGAATTTTAATAACATTCAATTACAATTCAATTGTATATGCTGGAGTTTGCATGTTCTCCATGTGACTGCGTGGGTTTCCTCCTACGCTCCAAAGACATGCTGGTAGGTTAATTGGCTCCTGTCTAAATTGTCCCTAGTATGTGTATGTTTGAATGTAAGTTAGGGACCTTAGATTGTATGCAGGGGCAGACTGACAACTCATGGGGCCCCCGGGCAATAGGGGATCATGGGGCCCCTGTGTCCTTGCACAAACTCAAAGAAGCCTATGAAAAGGTACCAGGGGCATCTCATGGGGCCCCCTACTGACCCTGGGCCCTCGGGCGTGTGCCCGAGTTTCCAAATGGTCAGTCCGTCCCTTATTGTACGCCCCTTGAGGGTTAGGGACTGATGTGAATGTACAAATATATATGTAAAGCTATGCATAAATTGACAGCACTATAGAAGTACCTGAAACAAATAATTAAATAAATAAATATGATATTTTTGTTGTTGCTCCTTTTTTTTTCCCCACAAAAGTGGAGTTACCTTTTAAGGCAGCACATAATATTTAAATGGTTTGTCAACACTCTTAAAAAGCGGACATGTACAATTTTTTTCAATGTACAACAAAGCACAGATAGTTTTCATCTGTGTGTTGTGTTTCATTGAGAGACACATTGCATTTTGTTGTGGTGCCATTCAAAAAAAAAACATGGGTTGCAGTAAAGGCAGGTCATACATGGATCCAAATTCAGACGCTTCAGCAGGGTCTGGTCAAATCTGATCCATGTATAGACAGGCAGGTTGTACACAAGTGGATCTATTGATCAATTTGTATACAAACAGTCTATCAGGTTTCTCCCAAACAATCCGTGCCGCCGGCTATAGCCAGCAGCACTGATCATTGTATTCTGCAGGAAGGGATGTCAGAACACAATAGCACAGCAGGAGGATTCCCCCTTCCACTTCAGATGCGTAAATTGAGGAATCGGATCTTTTGTTTTTTTTTTTTCGTTTAAATGGTAAACAAAAATGATTAATGTATGGCCAGCTTAACACACGAATCCTTTTATAATAATAAAACGAAAACAAAAAGTGCAGGTCAACACAAAATTAAAGATGACAAGATTTTTATTTTGCTAAAAACAATAGACTTTCTCAGATTCATGCATTTTCCTGCTCTATACAATACATGGCAAGTGTAGACTAACCTAGTGTGTTCTCCTATGTTTGGGCCATGGTGTTTTCATATTTATGTATTACAGGTACTTATATAGCGCCGTCAGTTTACGCAGCGCTTTACATATATATTGTACATTCACATCAGTCCCTAACCCTCAAGGGGAGTACAATCTAAGGTCCCTAACTCACATTCATATATATACATACTAGAGCCAATTAACCTACCACCGTGTCTTTGGAGTGTAGGAGAAAACCAGAGTTTCATGTGTTTTTCTCATGGTTACTGTGAAATTGTGTGAATGCATCAATGCACTGCATATTATCTCAGCTTGCAGAGCTTGGATTCATTGAATGAATTTACCAAAAATGTATTGTAGAACATACAGCCTCATGCTCCATAACTATTTATTTATTACAAGTACTTATATAGCGCCATCAATTTACGCAGTGCTTTACATATATATTGTACATTCACATCAGTCCCTAACCCTCAAGGGGCGTACAATCTAAGGTCCCTAACTCACATTCATACATACACATATTAGGGACAATTTAGACAGGAGCCAATTAAACTACCTGCATGTCTTTGGAGTGTGGGAGGAAACCGGAGCACCCGGAGGAAACCCACGCAGGCACAGGGAGAACATGCAAACTCCAGGCAGGTGATGCCGTGGTTGGGATTTAAACCAATGACCCTAGTAATGCCAGACGGAAGTGCTAACCATTGAGCCACTGTGCTGCCCCATAACTAAGCTTCATTTCATGCTCAATAAACTAAATTATTAATGTATCTTAAATAGAAAACTATCTTTAGATATATTTTTATTCCAAAAACATTTTAGCAAAATAAATTTGATAAAAAATAAAACAAAATACGATTTAAAAAAAAAAAAAATCCAATTTAAATTTTAAAAAATCCATGTTTTAAAAAAAAAAAAAATCGATTTTTATCCATCCTGCTTTCTGTGCACGTTACACAGAACTTCCCCAGAAATGTAATTTCCTGATTGTGTGATTGGCTCACTGATTTTTCCAGAAATCGGCACTAACATACAAGTCAGATTTTAGACATTCTCTGCAACAAAAATAAGATTTTTGGTGAGATGCTCCTAAAGGGTTAATCACTTCTAAAGGGATGTTGAAACTGCAACTTTCCTCATACATACACATAATAGGGCCAGTTTAGATAGGAGCCAATTCACCTACCAGCATGTCTTTGGAGTGTGAGAGAAAACCGGAGTACCCGGAGGAAACCCACGCAGGCACAGGGAGAACATGCAAACTCCAGGCAGGTGGTGCCATAATTGGGATTTGAACCAGCGACCCTAGTACCGCCAGGCGGAAGTGTTTTGGACTAGGTCACCTACAGACCATTTACCGTGATCTACCAGTGAGCCAAATTAATATAGAATTACGTGCACGTGGAAGCAAGACACTGACACTGTTGCAGTTTGCCAACTTCCTAAAATTCTGTTTTATTGAGGAACTAACAGTATCATTTATAGGGCTTATGATGCAGGCAAAGCATATACATTGATTGGGTGAAAAGTCCACTGGGTTTCTGCATGTTCTTCCATCCGTGTTGATATCTTCCAATCCTGGTCCCCAAAAAGACTCATTCCCTTTTATGGGGGTTGTTTACATTAAAAGATACTTTTCTCCTAAAGAGTCACCAAGGGTGAGACTCCGGATGAAGGCGCCATCTTAATTATCATTGTTCTGTCAACCTATATCTGATTGTTTACTTAAGAGAGTAAGGAATTTAAAGAGAAGCAGAAAGTAGCAAGACTATAAAATTGTCATTTTACTGATCATCTAATAGAACGTGGACTGTCTATCACAATCCACTACAGAAGTGCTAACCATTTAGCCACTGTGCTGCCCACATATTAATAAATAACCGCTCTAATTTGGCTAAAAATCCCAGATCCAAACTGTACATGCTTCTGTTTAAAAAAAAAAAAAACAAAGCTCAGAGCATGTCTATATACTCGGCGTTATCCATGCACCGAGCGTTTCTGATAGGATAGGCATGACATAAGAGAGTACTTCACGCTGGCTGCCACGGCAAGGGCAAATGAAGCCAGAGGGAAGATTTCCATAGCAGATTCATTGGCGGATGTGTGTGGCGGTCAGCACTTAACTAGGCTTTTTATCAACACCTCTGACCTCCACTAACCACTTCAGAAAACTGCCTGTGAATATGGGGCATGCTTTGCCGATATGGAGAGGCACAACGTGGAAAACATCTATTGATCCAGAGGTTCGGAATACATGTTTTGTTTTTTTTTTATACTGAAACTGCAAAGCAAAAGGCCAAAACGAGTGTACTTATAAATAGTTTAGTACATGAAGACCTCCATGTGGTCCCTGCTTTGATCTTCCTTCTATACGTACCATGTGTACATGTTCGCTGTACCTTTCTGTTCCATGGTCTACTTGTTATATGGTTTCTTGACATCTGATCAAGCTGTGTTTATTAACAGCCATTGATTGCATTTTATGTTCAGTATGTAATAGACCATTTTTTTTACTATAACATTTAAATCATTTATTGCATTAAGGGGATGTAGTAAATGCTTACAGATATTAGGTGGTCATTTTTTTTTTTTTTTTACTATTTAAAGAGCAACCCCGGGCAGCAAATAAAATCAGTCAGTAAATGGTCCAGTAGGCATTGCTGCTGTGTGAATTTCTAATGTGGTTACCAGGGGCAGACTGACAACTCATGGGGCCCCTGTGTCCTTGCACAAACTCAAAAAAGCCTAAGAAAAAGGTACCAGGGGTATCTCATGGGGCCCCCTACTGACCCAGGGCCCTCTGCCCAAGTTTCCAAATGGTCAGTTCGCCCCTGGTGCTTACTTTTTTATATCGAGCTCTGTGCCAGCATTTTAGATTCTGGATTGAGGAGGCTTTTCACAGTGCTTTTTGCTCTTAGGCCTGTTTCACACGGGCTTTGGCTTGTATAGCCCTAGGTTCACACTACTTCTGTGGATTTCAGTGTGTGTTCCAGTTTGCAGAAAAGCACTACAGTCCATTTAATATGGCTTGTGCGTAATGAGCCGGTGTGTTTTTTTTTTTTTTTGGAAAGGGCCAGGGACTTTTTTTTTTTTTTTTTCTTGCAGCAGATTGTGTTTTGTGTTTAATAGACTTCAATGGACCTGCACCCAAAACGCAAGTGCTGTGTTTTTGATGCATTTTGCATTGTTTTTTTTTCTTTTGCTAATAGGAAAGTATGACAGTTCTGTTCATGTATTGCGATAAGAGGCGGACTGACCATTTGGAAACTCAGGCACTGCCCGAGGGCCCGGGGTCAGTAGGGGCCCCATGAGATGCCCCTGGTACCTTTTTCATAGGCTTTTTTGAGTTTGGGCAAGGACACAGGGGCCCCATGATCCCCTATTGCCCGGGGGCCCCATGAATTGTCAGACCGCCCCTGATTGCGACTATCATGTGACATTACACTCTTGGGGCAGCACAGTGGCTAAATGGTTAGCACTTCCACCTGGCAGTACTAGGATTGTTGGTTCGATTCCCAGCCACGGCACCTCCTGCCTGGAGTTTGCATGTTCTCCCTGTACCTGTGTGGGTTTCCTCTGGGTACTCCGGTTTCCTCCCACACTCCAAAGACATGCTGGTAGGTTAATTGGATCCTGTCTAAATTGGCCCTAGTATGTGTATGTATGAATGTGAGTTAGGGACCTTAGATTGTACACCCCTTGAGGGTTAGGGACTGATGTGAATGTACAATATATATGTAAAGCGCTGCGTACATTGACAGCGCTATATAAGTACCTGAAATAATAATAAATAAAGTTATATAATAGTAGTGCAGGTACCTATGTGTCCAAAGTCACATGCATGTTAAGGTTAAGGGCAAGGGTTAGAGTTAAATGTTAGGTTTAAGGGCTACCCTTACCCCTAACCCTAGCCCTTAACCCCAACACTAACATGCGATTTTGGACACATAAAGGTTCCTGCACTACTTTGATGCAACTTGAGTGCCAGAGAGTGTAAAGTCACATCAAAGTCACACTACAGAACCAGAACTGTCTTACTTTTCTGTTAGCCCCCCAACCTCCCCCCCCAAAAAAAATGGATAAAAAAGTGTTTAAAAACGCATGTTCAAAATTACAAAACGCATGAACCGCAACCTGCATAAATGGTGAACCTAGCCTAAGAGTAGTGTGAACAGCAAGCTTTGACAAAACATTTGCAGATTTTTCAGCAAACTTTGTTGAAGCTTTTAGGGCCGGTTCACACACCATAGACACGCAGTCTGGATGAGTTTATGCATGCACTTTTTTTTACACATTTTCAAGCGTTTTTACTACAAATCCTGGAGGAATGCTCTGCACACCGCTGTATACCCTTCCAAGGAAAACTTTGCAATTAAAAATAGGGATTTTTAATTCACACATATTGTAATACATGTTTAGGCTGGCCAACTGTGTCAAATCCCTCTATGGCCAGTCCTACTCTGCAGATGTAGTTATAGGGTTAGGTCTGGCTACTGACGCAGTTGGCCAGCTTAAACATGGACTGCAATTTGTGTGAAGGAAAAACACCTATTTTTTTATTGCAGCATTTGCTGGAAAGGATATATAGCAGTGTGCAGAGGGTTCCTCCAGTGTGGATAACATGAAGCTACACCCGTTTTAGCACCTTAAGATAAATGCATGTACAAGCTATTATTAAACATTATTTATTATTATATATTATTAAACATGGGTATATCTTGTATTTGACATGTTTTGATGCATTACAGTGCATTTTCGATGCATTCCAGATGCTTTTTTTTTTTCCCCCCCATTTTTGGGTAATTTGGGGTCCAGTTAGTTTTTGATGCATTTTACAGCATTCCAGTTAAGTTTTGTGAAGGAAAAATACAGCATGTTCTACTTTTTTTTTTTTTTTTCTTCTTCTGGAACAGGAGCGCACTGGAACTGAAAACACTGTGTGTGAACCATGCCATTGACAACCATGTAACCTACTTTCTGAGCGTTTTGGATGCAGAAACAAAACGTACTGGAACACATGTAGTGTGAACCAGCCCTAAAAGTACTATCCAACTCCAGTTTGTAAATGTTGAACTTGCTTGCTGAAAGCTCTGCAAATGCTTTGTCAAAGCTTGCTGTTCACACTGCTCTCCTACAAGCTGAAGCCTGTGTGAAACAGGCCCTTTGTCTCCTGTGTAAGTTCTTCCCTTCCCTTTTAGTAAGTGTGCAAGGTGACAGATCAGCATGAGGAGTCCTATGCATTCCATAAACTGCATGCTTTGTGCTAAGGCAAGCATGTTAAGTTTGAATGGGTCCTCATTGCGTCTCAATGAATGGAAAATTTAACTTTATTTCTGGCAACACAGAGGTTTATTTATTTATTTCAGGTACTTATATAGCGCCGTCAATTTACGCAGTGCTTTACATATATATATATTGTACATTCACATCAGTCCTTAACCCTCAAGGGGTGTACAATCTAAGTTCCCTAACTTACATTCATACATACACATACTAGGGACAATTTTAGACAGTAGCCAATTAACCTACCAGCATGTCTTTGGAGTGTGGGAGGAAACCGGAGTACCCGGAGGAAACCCGCACAGGCAGGGAGAACATGCAAACTCCAGGCAGGTGGTGCCATGGCTGGGATTCGAACCAATGACCCTAGTACTGCCAGGCAAAAGTGCTAACCATTTAGCCACTGTGCTGCCCCAGAGGTTGCTTAAAGCTGAATGTTGTGCACATACACAGGTGCATTTGTTGTTACTGTTTATTGTGACGAGTGCAAGTTTAGGAAATGGATATAGAAATGATACAGAATTCTCAAACGTCTAGTTTGGGAGGCTCTGGTGTGTTTGTTGTAAGTGGAGAAAAGGTGTGTGTGCTCCAAGTTTTCTCCAGGTTTTGTAATCCTGGATCAGGGCCTGGAGTTGGAAGGTTTCAAAATGTCTGTGTCCAAGTTTATTAGAGACCTGCAGGCTGTGTGAGTGCACAGGTGTACATGCTCATTATAAGCAAGGCCTGATCATAGCTCAGGGCTCCCATTTGTAGACAGAGCCTTTTGCGGGCCATAGATGGGATGAAAAAACGGCCAAAAATCGTCCGAAAAGAAAAATCAGCTGATTTTCGGATCGTTAGTGTGGTAATCGGTCGGCCGTTTTTAGTGATTTTTGCCATTTTTCGATTATCGGTCCTGCTGGAAAAAAAAATCGACCAAATTTGTCGTTCTGCCGATTTTCGCGGCAATGATGGACAAATCTGCCGATCTTTTTCTGATTTTAAAAAATGCGCATGAGCAGTGACATGAAAGAAGGAAAAGAAGAAAAGGAAAACATAGAATATGAATGAGAAGAAGAAATAGAATATGAATAAAAAGAAGAAATATAATATAAAGAAGAAGAGAAATAGAAGAAAAAGAAGAAATAGAATATAAAGAAGAATGAAAAGAAAAGAATTTCAGTCCGATTATTATATTTGACATTTAAAAGTATAGCAACATTGTATCTATTTGTATCCGAATAGAAACATCTGTATCCAAAATGGATACAAATAGATACAATGTTGCAACTTTTTCTTCTTCTGCATATTCTATTTCTTCTTCTTCTGCATATTCTATTCTTTTTATTCATATTCTATTTCTTCTTTTGCATATTCTATATAATTGCCAGCCGTAGACGGGACGAAAATCAGCCGACTTTTTTTTACCAATGGTGGTAACGTCGGCTGATTGAACAACCGATTTTTCATTCTTCTAAAAAAAAAAAAAGGCCAGTTTTCTCCCCGTCTATGGCCTGCATTTGTGTGGAGATAGGTGTGCGCTCCAGCCTAGTGAGGTGAACCATTTGGGAGGCAGTACCCCAAATGGGAGAGATTCCTTCACCTACCGGACTGGGAGAGTTGGGAGAGCTAAGCAAGTTGGCAGAAGACTGAGAGAGCTAATGCAACTAGCGAGTCCAAGTGACTGGAGGGGGATCTGTAAGTCTCTGGAAGAGTGAGAACCTTGGGTACCTGGAGACCCCTATCTAGAGGCCAGGAGTGGGACCATGCAGAGAGGTGCTGTACCTAAGCCTGAATGAGCTTGAAGAGCCCATGGTCTGGGAGACTTAAGAGAGCAGCGGTGCTGCTGACAAGAAAGCCGGGTGGCTCTGTATTTTTGGTTAATTGTTTTGCGGGAGCAAATTCCCTGTGTGGGCAAAACTAAGGTTTGAGGACTTTTGTCTGTTTAAATAAAAGTGGGCTGCCATGTCTTAAAATAGAGTTGTGCACTGACACGGACTCATTACTACCACTGAGTCTAATCACCCCATATACATTGGAGTATTCAGGACATACAGGAAACCAGAGGTTGAATCAGCCCATCATGCCCCACCTGTAACTAAAAAATAATACTTTGGCCTGAAACGTAAATTTCACACTATTAAAAAAAGTCACATCTGGGCTAATTGGTGAATCTGACCAATCATTATAGTGCAGGCCTGTGAAAAGTGATGTCAATTCCCTAAGGCGATTAAATTCTTTTTAATTGAATTTGTCTTTTTGTTTTGTTTTTTTATTTTATTTTCTTTAAGGTGGTTAATTTATAAACTTGAACATATTGCATAGGTGTGAACAATTTCGCATGAAATACTTATTTAACAGTGATTTTATCTATTTTATCTCATCTCAGTATTTTATATATCTCATACGGCTTTCCTGCTCTCCTCAACAGACACCTTATAAAGAGTTTTTTATAACAGCTGCGCTTTTTGCTCTCCAGTGCTTCCATTGAACTCCCACAATGCATTCTACATGCAGTTGTGGCTTATACTGCGAGTGCCATCATACCCAGAATACGATTCCATCTGTCCCCTATAAGAGAGTAAATCATCAATTTGTAATTCATTTTAGGTCTCCTTTAACTGCTAGCCTACAGGGCACTTACACCCCCTTCCTGCCCAGGCCAATTTCCAGCTTTCAGCACTGTCACACTTTGAATGACAATTGCGCGGTCATGCAACACTGTACCCATATGAAATTTTTGTCTTTTTTTTTTGTGACATAGCTTTCTTTTGGTGGTATTTAATCACCTCTGGGTTTTTTATTTTTCCTAAACAAACCAAAAAAAAAATTTTTTTTTAAAAAAAGTTTTTGTTATAACATTTTGTAAATAAGTGATTTTTCTCCTTCACTGATGTGCGCTAATGAGGCTGCACTGATGAGGAGGCACTGGTAGGTGGCACTGATGGGCATTGACAGGCATCACTGATGGGCACTGAAAGGCAGCATTGATATATGGCACTGATGGGCAGCACTGTTAGGCGGCACTGCCTGGCACTGTTAGGCGGCACTGATTGGCGGCACTGATAGGTGGCACTGATTGGCTTTTGATAGGTGGCACTGATGGGTGACACTGAAAGGCAGCTCAGATGGGTACTGATATGTGGCATTGATGTGCACTGGTAGGCACTGATATGTGGCACTGATGTGAAAACTGATGGGCACTGGCACGAGGCACTGATGAGCACTTGACATAAGGCACTGATGGACACTGACTGTCATATGACGTCCTCCCAGAACGAGAGAACCACCTTGCGCCCGTCATATTACTATATGGCGGGCGGGAGGTGGTTAAAGAAGAACTTCGATAATGGTAGGTCCATTATCATGCATCAAAGCATGATAATAGTGTGCCCACTGTTCTTTGCCTTACCCATAGAACTGGGAGAGTTGGGGCAGCTTTCTTCCACACCATTCTTCCAAGAGGTTCTCCTTCCAAATGCCCACAATGGTTTTGAAAGTGTAGAACTGAGCACATCCACTCATTTTATATATGGTTGAGTGTGGGTACTGTTCCCGTGCATATCTATATACACACACATGTTTCTACACTAGTAGTTTCTGAGCAAGCATGCTGTTCCTCCATTGGGTCACACTATTTTCTTAACAGGCAAAAGCTAATGTTGGTTTCACCTTCAGATACCCCCTCCAACCTCACAATGAAGGAGGCACCTTCTGTGCAACCAGCAGTTTTCACCCTGATGCCGAGATCCATTCTCCAGCATCATGAGGCCAGTGTGGGCAGCCATGGCCTTAAAACAAAATACTAATACAGCTCGAAAACGGCCCCTAACTGCAAATAATATGTATCCATATTGAGACATTACTGTTTCCATTCCAGGTGCCTGTAGAAAAGTGAACTTATCCCTGAATTCCATTATTAGAGAACTAAAGCACTACACGGCAGCCATATTGTTCTGTGACGTAACTCATGGATTGAAGGAAGGTTACGCTCGGAGATTATGTGCTCTCCTGGCTGAGCGTTCGTAGAAGCTGTAACATTTCATTCTATTCTGAATGTTTTCCTCCAGTCATAACAGTATATTGTGGGAAGTGTAACATGGCGGTGTCCTTCCCATGGCTGTATTGATTTGCCCTTCAGCTGTTTGCAGTGCATGGAGAACCCAGGGCCTTGTTGTTGATTATCTCTACACAATGTCTCTGTGAGCTTTATTGACCCATTGCAGCTTACTGCCTGTGGCTCTTGATTTTTCACACCGTCTCCATGACACTCATAATAAAACATACTATGTTATTGCTACTGCGTTCTGGAAGTCAACTTGTGCTGCCTGACAGCGAATGAACCTCTTTCTGGAGAACATTTATTGTCTGGCGTTCGAGAGCTGCAGAAATTTTAGCCTTGATTTAGGCTGGATGTTTCTGTTCCTGCCAAATGAGCACAGCAGCCTCCTTTGTTTGGATTCCTTTGTTTTCCATTGATAATAGTGTGGTCTGTGCCTTAAGTCATCCTAATGCTTCTGAAGCACAGTTAGAGTTTTACAAAAGCTTTATGAGCTTATTTAAGGGGTCATTCCTGGAAAAAAGTGATCTTTCACGATTTGGTTGACACTGAAGTGCTAAAGCATCCAGTGATGGTCATGATAGTAAAATATCTACGTGTAGACTCCCAGGGTTGCATATATGCAACATGTCTCTTGTACCTGTAGTATTGAGACTTCTAGGTGAGCAGATGATCTGGCTTCTTACATACCCCCAGGCTTCTTACATTACCCCCGAGGCTTCCATTACACCAGACACTGTTTCAGCTTCCTGTGTCACCTATGTACTATGGATGAGCATCATCACAAAGCAGAGGGCTCGCTTTGTACTTGCCTCCTCTTGTAAGCTGCCTAGCATCCTCTTTTCAGCTACCAGTGCCTGAAAACATGTCAAACAGCACTCTGTGTTGCAGTAGAAACTACTTTACTCATAGCGCAGAACAAAGCCCACTCTGATTTCTGTGTACAGGGCATTGTGGATGTACTCCAGCCATGGCTGCATGACATTTCTCAAGGTAGGTATTGTGTGTTGAAACAGCCTCTTGTAGTCTCTATCAAAAGCCCATGTAAAGCCGGCCATAGATGGTTCAAATCTTGGCCAGTTCAGCAGGGACCGGCCTATACTCGAACCATCTGTGGGCGCACTGATTGTACCCAATTTGATTGTTGTATTGCCACTAGCAATAATCGTGTTCTCCCGGCAGGGATTGCACCGCCCCACCCCACCCTACACATTCCACACCCTACACACGCACACACACACACACCACAATAGCTCCATGGGTGGATTCCCCCATCAACACTGACTGTGTTGATGGGGTAATTGAGTATCATCTATGCCTGGCTCGATAGGGAAACAACACATGATCACAAATGAAATACGGGGACAGCATGATTGCCCTGCACACAGGAAGAGTTCATAGCAGCCTGAGTTCACAGGAAGTGGGTTGAATAACACTGGATGTCATTCAGCCTTGAAGACTAACTATAGCCTGAAGCAGAGGACAAGGAAGGCAGCAATGTAGCATTGAGAAGGGTGAGGCATGAAGCATCTGCTTTAATCTGACAGGCAGATGAACCCTCTGAACATATCAGAAGAATCTCTTGGGTTATATGTTCCACATGTTTATAAGAGACATCTTTTTTTTTTCTTTTTTTTTTTTTTTTCCTGAGAGGAAGATGTGAAAGGTTCAGATCAAAGCTTATTCTCGGCATGCGATCCAATGGATCAAGGACTTTTCTTGTCTCTGAAACATACTCCCCTGGCTGGGTACAGCCCACTTCCCATAAACAAATAGTACATTTCTCTTAAAGACTGTTTAAAGATATACAATGTCCAAACATTATTGAACACATCACATTACATCGTCATCATAGTATTACTGGCCTCTCGGAGGCTGTCAGAGATGTAATACACAATCAATAACTCAATAACTTGTTAACTCAAGTCCCAGAGAAGGCCATAATGTAGAACTTCTAAGACCCATGTGCTACCCTGTGAATTTCCTGCTTTTCAGCATCTCACAAATTTCCAAGTCATTACCTCGATTATCAATCTCTTCTTTCTATGCGAAAAGTGGGATGTTCAAAGTCAACAGCAGCTACCTCGCAGGAACCACAAATAAGCGTACGCTCTGATAGCTTTCGATGTTTACCGGTCTCAGCACAAAGCTTAAGTAGACTCCACGAGCTGCTCTGAAGCCACTGGAAATGTTACACCTTCGACAGTTCTGAAAACTCTATCTTGCTGATGGTAATTGTCTAGAGTCATGAGCATGTGCATTGCACTATTTTAACCCATGCATGACTGTGGAGGGGGCTTTTTGGTGTCTTACTAAAGACATTCATTTTTTGGAGGATTTCTGAGTGGTACCTGCCTCTGAACATTCTGAAATCACAAAGAGGGACACCATTTAGCACACAATATATGTATGTAGGCAAGGGACATGGCCCGGGTTAAATGACCATAGAGTTCTAAAATGCAGAAAATGATTAGATAAACCACACAAGTGCTTTTTGACCTCTTTTTCCTTTATATTGTCTTTTTAAAATAGCAAATGTAGTAATAGAGGTTGGATAAAGTTTAGTGCGGCATAAACACAAAACAAAAAAATAGTACATTTTGTATAGAGATGTTCACATCAGGCCAGAAAGGACAACAACTGAGGCTGCAAAAGGAACATAAGGTTTTGGTCCCAATAGATGGGCAGTTCTTCCAAATGACAGGAGCTATGGGTTGTTAATCCATTTATAATACTGTGTACAGTATCTGTCAGCTAATCAATCAGCAATCCTTTTGATCAATATAGTTAATCGGTTTAAAGCTAAACTGCACACAGATCTAAAAGATACACATAAATGCGGCTCAGTATTCTTTATATATATTATTATTATACAGGATTTATATAGCGCCAACAGTTTGCTCAGCGCTGTACATCACAATGGGAGACAATACACAAGACCGTACAGTAACAATATGATTCGATATACGAGGGGTTCGAGGGCCCTGCTCCTTGGAGCTTACAATCTAGGAGGGAGGGGATAGTGGTACAGGAGGAGATATATCATTGTGATTGTAAAGTTTTTGTTCTGTGCAATGGAATAGCACAAACCGGCCTGAACCTCCTCTTCTTGGGTCCTCCACTGGTGCTTCTGGCTCCTCCTCTTCTTGGTGTGCTAACCTTCTATCCCTAGACTTGATAAGGCGCATGCGTGCGAAATGCGTTGTCTAGATTTGTGGCCACAGCCACCAGCTTGTGTTCCAAGGCAGGATCCTCCCTTCCGCTTCATCCGAAGACCGCGGTGACGTCCGTTCCGGAACACCGCGATCTCGTGTCTTATGGTACAGGAGCTTTGTCTGCCCTACATCTCACACCATTGGAGCAAACGGGTCGTCCACCTTGCCCAAGCCACCCATCATCCATTGTGATCATCTATTGTGCCCCTTTTATATAATAAAGGTACACCTCCAAGTGAGGTCTATACACTATTTACTCTCGCAGCGCTGATTCTTTTGAGGTTTTTGGATTCACTATACAAGTGTTAATTACAGCAGCAGTAAGAATTTATGTGTTTAGAGAGAAAACAGGTGGCGCACACACCTAGTGCATTATCCAATATTTATTGTAGGAGTGAAAAAATAATAAAAACATACTCACAGACGAAGCATGTATCTAAAAAGCATAAAAAAAATGACAATGGCCACAACGGCAGGCAAGGTGTTCTCACTGTCAGTGCGGTCAAATGGCTGACGCGTTTCGGGGACGAATCCCTTTCCTCAGAGCTGATGACCAGCCTGTATGGAGGTCAAGTAGTAAATAACCAGGGCTAGATGCCTTGGGAGCAAAGCTCCACCTCCTCTACTTGTTATAAGATGAGGGGTTGGAGGGGGTTATTTAAAGTGCAATCTTTTGTAGTTTTTATAAACGCATATACATACATATATACACACATATATAAAGATACATACATGCACTAAGAGACAAAGCAAATAAAAAATTATTAAAAATACATGAATATAGCACCTGCAAATGTAGATAAATATAAAAAAAAATTTTTTTAATAAAATATATAAAAATAATCGTATTAGTAACACTGGCAATGATGATAAAAATAATAACATTAGTAAACATCATAAAAATAAAAGTAATATCTATTCAAACGTGAAGCGCTGAGCAAACTGTCGGCGCTATGTGAGTGCTGTGTAGTGATATTGGACTGTTGTTGGGGAAAAAATAAAATAAAAATTGGGGACATTAGAAGACATGAAATAAAGAGTGTGTCTATGGGTAA